TCTATAACCTTATTTATAATGTGATATTTGATGTGATCATCGAGTGTATTAGTACACGTTATACTATAGATGAACCTCTTTTTTTCATATATCAAATAACTGTTTTTTTTGTACATCAAATTACTATCTTTCTTTTTGCATATCAAATAATTGTTTCTTCTTTCACACGTCAAATGACTGTTTCTTCTTTTCACATATCAAATGACTGTCTCTTTTTTCATATGTCAAATGACTGTCTTTTTTTTTCACATGTTAAATAACTGTTTCTTCTTTTTGTATATCAAATGATTGTCTCTTCTTTCACACATCAAATGATTGTCTTTTCTTTCATATATCAAATAACTGTCTCTTCTTTTCGCATATCAAATGACTGTTTCTTTTTTTCATACATCAAATGACTGTTTTTTCTTTTTGCACATTAAATAACTATCTCTTCTTTTTATATGTCAAATGATTGTCTCTTCTTTTTGCACATCAAATGACTGTCTCTTTTTTTTGTACATCAAATGACTGTTTCTTCTTTTTGTATATCAAATGACTATCTCTTCTTTTTGTACATCAAATGACTATTTTTTCTTTTCACATGTCAAATGACTGTCTCTTTTTTTCACACATCAAATAACTGACTCTTCTTTTTGTACGTCAAATAACTGTCTTTTCTTTTCGCATATCAAATAACTGTCTTTTCTTTTCACACGTCAAATAACTGTCTCTTCTTTTTGCACATCAAATAACTGTCTCTTCTTTTTATATGTTAAACGACTGTCTCTTTTTTCTGCACGTCAAATGACTGTCTTTTTTTTCTTCACATATCAAATAATATTTTTTTCTTTTCTCTTTTTTTTCTTTTTTTCTCTTCTCTTTTCTTCTCTTTTCTTCTCTTCTTTTCTTTTCTTTTCTCTTCTCTTCTCTTCTTTTCTCTTCTTTTCTTTTCTTTTTTCTTCTCTTCTCTTTTCTTCTCTTCTTTTTTCTTCTTTTCTCACTCTTATTTTCCCTCTCTTTTTCTTTCTTTCTCTCTCTTTCTCTCTTTCTGTCTCTCTCTTTCTCTTCTTTTTCTTCTTTTTCTTTCTTCTTCTTTCTTTCTTTCTCTTGTTTTTTTCTTCTCTCCCCTCTTTTCCCCTCTCTCTCTTTTTCTTTTTTTTTCTTTTCTTCTCTCCTCTCTCTCCCCCTCTCTTTCACACACACACTCTCTCTTTCTTCTCTTTCTTTCCTACCCTTCTTTCTCTTTTTCTCTTTATTTTTTTATTTTAAATATAATATACCCTGCTTCGCAGAGTAAATTATGTAAATGGAAATCTACTTTGCGGGCTCCCATGTAGCATTTGAGGTGATATTATATAAACAGAAACCTGCTTCGCAGGCTCCTGTGTAATATTCATAAAATATTATACTCAAATTTTAACAGAGATTCCTTGAAGGTGTGCTTATACAGAGATCTTTAAGGGATCTCTGTTAAAATTTGAGTATAATATTTTTTTGCATAACCAAAACTTAAACTTTAGTAGATAAGACTAGCTCTCAGACCCAGGTGTTGCTCCCGGGGCTCAGTTTCAATTTTTTTTAGTTTTTAATTGATAATTCTCAAGTGAACTGAAGAATGTTTATAGTGAAACATGACGCAGTTCTATATATAAATTACTATAGATGCAAAAGTAAAAATTTTTTAGTGATTGTCCAAGAAAAACTTTTTTTTGTACTAAGTTAATCATCTTTGAGTCTCTAAGTAAAGTTGTAGAGCTCACTGAGACGAATCTAATGGTAGTTAGATTATTTAAATCGGTCTAGTAAATATCAAGATATTTTTAAAAAATGTTTCATTGACTATATAAAAATTTTTTGAATTGTTCTTAAAGAATTTTATAGTAGTGAAACGTTTTTCAAAGATATCTTGGCATCTACTAGGCCGATTTAAATAATCTAACTACCATTAGATTCGCCTCAATGAGCTTTACAATTTTACTTAGAGACTCAAAGATGATTAACTTAGTACGAAAAAAAGTTTTTCTTGAACAATCACTAGAAAATTTTTACTTTTGCGTCTATAGTAATTTATATAGAATCGCATTATATTTCACTATGAACTTTCTTCAGTTCACTGGAGAATCATCAATTAAAATATTTGTTGAACCCAGACGTTGCTTCGAGAACTCAGATTTAATTTTTTTTAATTCTTAGATTTTTAAATATTAGAAGTTTTATATTTTGTAATATATTTTTTTAAAATAGTTTTAATAGGCAATCCACCTGAGACCTGGACAAAAATTTTTTTTTATATATAAATTTTACTATAAGCCCAAATGTGCA